AATTGTTCACTTCGTCACTACACATCTAATTTCTCATAGCCTCGTAACAGTGAATTTCACATTTCCTAAATGTCATGGCAAATGGAACACAAATAACAACACACATTACATACACGAGCGCACGTGTATATGCACCAAGAGAGAAAAAATGTTGGAAAAGGCGAATAGAGAAAAAAAATCACAAGCCAAAGTAGAAGTGACATGAAAGCCAGCCCACGTGCGAATACGTAGTCGTGCGTATGTGTATTGAACGGTTGTACGACAATGGAATGAACCGTGCACTAACGCTTGTGCACAAGACAAATATACAAAACGTGCACGTGTGAACTGTGACAGGGGGTGGTTTCCAAAGAGAAAGAGAGAAGAGCCAGTGAACACTCGTTGTCGTCGTAAGGTAAACGGTTTGTAAAAACGACGGCAGCGGCGGCGTGAAGGACGTCGATTTATCGTCTTGGCCTTAGCCGAGCGTGGTGCAGTGTAAATCTCGGATTTCATCTCGGAAAACGGACGGACGTGGAAGGGAACAACAGGAAGTGGCCGATCCCGGGCGGAGGGGTAGAAAGCGTGACGAAAGGGAGGGTGGTTTTTAAGGAAAACGTCTCGGGGCGCGCGCGCGAAATCAGCTTTCGGGATGTTGCCGTTACGTACCTGGAATTAGCGTCATTAATCGCCCAATAAAATGCGCTGTCAGCTCTGCTGCTGCTTCTGCCGGAACCCGCCTACTGTTGGCACGCGAAGAATGACTAAAAATTTATCACGCCGAAAAGTCCTCTCGGCCCGTTTTCACGCAACTTTTCCAGTCACTTTGTTTGACCGGCAATCCGACCGTTGTCGTCCACCACCCCCGTACCTACCACCTCACACTTTGTCACGGGTCTCGATCAGATGATTTGCTTAGCGAATGGTGCGCACCACCGCGATAAATGATTACACGAGCTGGTCAAGTACAGTGAAACCGCAGCACAATTTTTTGCGCCCTCTTCCCTTTTGTGCAGCACGTTTCTGTCCTTCAATCGATATTATTATTATTATTATTATTATAATTTCTATCACGAATGTCGGGAAAGCTCTGACGTAATCATCGCATCGGTGGTCTGGGATACTGTAGTACGTGTCCCCGTTCCATTCGAGGTTGACGAGGGAACGTGAATTGAAGACAATATTCTTACTATTGTATCAATTTTGTTCTATTATTCGATGTTAAATAGTATAAAATAAGTCGAACAACCCCGATCGTGTTGTTGTTGTTCACCCTTTTTCAGTTTTCACGATTTCAGTGTCATTGACTAGCTTTTAAACAGCCATTTGCGCATCGCAGGTCGTCGACTACTGTCCATAGTCCTTATTACTCCCATTGGTACGCAACCGTCGTTTGGAAAATGATCTGCAGAACATAGCGCAATCGTATTATGAAGTCGAGCTACTCGAGCTGCCGACTGTATTTATGTTTGGTTTATATTATATTATATTTTATGGTTTGTATGAAATGATATACTTCATAATGTGTATAATGCTCATAATGCTTCATAATGCTCACGTGTATTTCTATTGCTATTTTAACTTGTACGATCTTTTCATGCAACATGTAACCGTACGGAAATTTATTTGTGAGATTTAACCGAAAACCAAAGTCATTTATATCGCGGTGATTATTTTAATTCATAGAATCAAAATATAGGCTAATATTACGTACGATTGGATAAGGATTTTTTTTTTTTTTCATTAATGTTATTCGATTAAAAATTGTTGATGTATAACATCGTATTAACACGGTAACCGGGCACGTAGATCAAATTCTCCAAGACCAGGCGACTATCGCGGGCGTGATAAGAGTTTTAAAATTATTACCCTGACCATTAACCGTTGATCTTTCCCGCCCCTGCGTAATGATAATAGTATCCGATTTGCGCGTTTTATTTTTGCCGATAAGATGGAAAAACAACGCAACGGTGCGAGAGCGAAAAGAAAAAGAGAAAAAAAAATTACACGTCGTTTAATAACATGAACTCAGCGGGATGTTTTATGGCAATGTCTGATGGGATCGAGTGGTGAAAAATGTCATGCACCACATCAAGTGCGAACGAATCTCGCGAAGAAGAGCGGCAGCAGAACGAAATCGATTTTCAGACGGTTTAATAGCACTCGAAGAAGACAAATTCGATGGTTAGCCGGTATACTAATGCGCGCACGAACCGTATAATAATAATGAAAATAAAATGTTCATAAAGAATGCGGTTTGGTGTTCTCGTCGAGTGTCGTGTTATTATTTATATTGTCCCGCCATGCACGTATATGCGTACACATACGAGTGACGTATATAACACGTGTTGTTCTATTTGCGAGTTCGCAACAGATCAACTAATCGAGACGTTTGCCGTAGAAAGGTTGCCCCGCCCAGATACACGTGTGTTTACGAGCACGCGTGTGCGTAACGTGCACGTTAAAATGCTGTCCGCGCGAATCGTTTTCGTCGAGCTTTAGGTCGTCCATTTCCTCCGGTTGATGAGGGTACACACGCGTTCGATTACTTTTCAATACCTTTCCGACGCGCCTATCTATCACGTCGCATTCGTCGCCGTACAAGTGTAACGTGCGAAACGTAAACTTCGCGTACGTCGGACCAGCCGAGAACAGGAAACGGTCAGCGCGCGTTTTTCGACAACGAGTAATCGGACGGGCCACGAGCACGGTGGTGGGTCGGACGCTTGCACGCCACGCGCACAAGACCGTCCGGCCTCCGCCTACCGCCGAATCGTATTATCACAGGTTACGGAAACGTTTCTATCGCCGCTGAAACGCAAACAGGTACTGTAATGAACGCGACGTAGATTATTTTTCAAAAATTATTTCACAGCCCTTGCGTACATATTTTAATCGACCATCCGTGGTTAGGTTACACGCTCTCGATTTATTTTTAGCAGTTAATAATCTTGCAACTACCTCTGACCACCGTCGCTCGAGTACGCAGTTTTCAGATTGACAAACACGTCGAATATTATGTAACGGACATACGAATCAATTAGGTATTTTAATGGTGACGTGTCAATTGGTTTCAGTTCTGTACGAGCTTCACGCGCACGTTAACAAATCCACATTCGATAGAAATCTACGAGCAGAATTCAAATTCGGCCCGGGTTCTGTTCCCACAAACACCTTTATGATTACTATCATAATTCATAACCTTTATCCACACCTTTCATAAAGTTTTCTTTTTGTTTATTTTAAACTATCAATGTCAGTTTTTTCATTTTTTTTTATAAACACACTAACGGGCGCACGCTGCTTCGCAATTAGTTTGAACATTAAAAACATAACAACGACACGACCGCTGTCCGGACAATAACAATAACCGGGTGAAAAAATAAACTAATGCTTTTGCGTTGTATTATTATTATTAGTTTACATACTAACGAGGACAAATTTGACGAGAAGATTAATCGACCGAATTCAACAACGATCATCGCCCATTGATCCCGCTAACGACTGCGGTGCATTCAAATTGTTAATGGCCGGTCGTTATTCGTTCGTGTACGTATTAGTTAATAAAAACTAAAGTGATGTAATGCCGAGTGAAAATAAGATTCAACTCTTCGTCAACTGATTCGGTTAAGAATTAATAGCCAAAAATATTATATAGTACCTTGACTTATTAGTCTGTAACAATATTGCGTCCAACTTGTTTTTAAATTGTGTAATTATTTTACGGTTTTCATTAGCAGTGTAGAAGTGGTTTTTGATATCATCTGGATAGTATCCAAAAATACACGTTCGTCTGAATCGCACTGGTCTGATTGGAATTTATTTACAATTTGATGATTTGTATGAATTTGTATAACCATTTGAAAAAAATTGATTACTTTGATTTGTATCAAATTTCAAATAATTTTAAGAAGTCAATGGTAATTAGGTCGACTGATATTATTTGAGCTTTGGAATTTTTACATTTTAATAGTGACAAAATTGAGTGCGCGATTAGTATGAATTTGTATATGACAAACATCTAAATTCAAACTCAATTTCGTTTCACGCAAATTATTTTTTTCTACCTGAATACGACGTATGACATCTGTAAACGTTTTTTATTTTTTTTGTGTTTAATGTTTAGCAAATATATTTTCAAGCCAAAATACAGTATAATAATGTATAAGTTCTGATATTAACTAAAATGATTATTTGGGAAAGTTTTATTTTTGTTATTCAGAGTTTACGCGATTCGCGAAACTTAGAGTATGAATTTTGATTATAATTAATTAAGTTCTAATAATGTTATATATCGTACGCCTTTTTTTTAAATTTTTACTTCTTACGATATTTTACTTCTTAGTGACCGATTACATAAAAATTATATAGGTGAGTAACTACCACTTTTATATGGTACAGAATCGCAAAATCGCAACAGTTGATTTTTAATCGTTCGCGGTAAAATATGTCGTAAAACAGTTGTCGTTTGATTTCTTCGTAGGTATCACTATTGCGCTTATGGTAAGGAATCGCTTGTCCTATTCAGACGGTGTTCCCAACAGCAATACCACGAAAATCGCACGTGCACTTCCACGTCTATGCGAACGGTTTAACAGGTTAACTACCTCGAACATAAGTGATACACAACAAACTTGTCCAGTTACTACAATGCATTTGAACATGAGCTTCCAAACTCGTCTTGAGTAGCACATTAGCTTGGATCTAGGCCAAAATAGCGAAACAATAAAGGCGAATGTAATAATCGCGAATTAATAATAGCGAAAATAAAAACAGCGAAAGTAATTAATAGCGAAAATATGGTATATAGAAAATATCTAACTTTTTAATTAATAATAGTAATAATATTTAGTTATAATAATAATTTTAAATAAAATAATTAGGCATTTAGTGACAAATTATACGCTATACCTTTTAGAAAGTTCTTATTATTGTCATTAAGACTATAATTTTGAATTAATGAATACATTTTTTTAACACAGTCTTAATACTTTTTTTTTCCGCGGTTATTCTCCAGCATTTTACTGCTCTCGTTTCAATTCTTCTAAATTTTGAACTTTCTTTATTCCATCAATAAATTTCCAAATAGTAGGATGGCTTCCTCCTAAAGATTTTGTATTATATAATTAAAGATAATAATTATTAATAAAATAATATGAACCAATAATAGATGCAAATCCCCTGTGCCATTCTTCTACAGCATTGTTTATTGTTGGAAGACCATTTTTGACAGAATAGTGACAATTCCAAATATCAATTTGATGTCTTGGTTGGCGTCGAATTTTTCGTCTTCCTATTATTTTTCCTACCCAGTTTTCCTCAAAATAATCCAAGAATGGAATTAACAGGTCTTCATTTTCAACATAAAATTGTGTTTCTAAAATGTCTTCATAAGTGTTAGTAACGTTATCAGGAGGAACATAGGCCAAAGCAGCTAGCATACGAATATGAAGAGAAAAGTTAGGATTATTAACATAATTTTCGACTAGACCAACATTTTGAATTAGTCGCCACATACATTTAGAAAAATTAAAAAAAAACAACCTTGTTGTTCAGCATGTGGAAAAACGATTTTGAATGCATTTATTGAGGCATGTTCAAAATCTACGATCTCGTATTATTACCGATGTAGGATTTAAAGTTTTATTTCTAATAAATATTTAAGAAAACGTGTATATGTTAATTGAGATTTATCGATTAATAATGCATAAATGGTAGGACTAACTATTTGGTCACCCTGTTGAATAAGTACATGAATAGTGAATAACTGATAAAAAAGTGAAGGTACCGTTTTAAAAGTTCCGTCTACCAAACAATTAGTTGATCGATCCATTAATTTTAAATTATTTTCGATCAAAAATAATAAAATTCGATCCTGTGATGCTCCAATGTGAAATATTATATATATTATATATAATATATATATATATAATATATATTGTTCTCCTTTTATCGTTTTAGTATCCTCATCAGAATTTTTTTAAGTCACTGACTGTTTTCGGAATAGGCTGTGCACATTAATTACGTATTCGAACTCTACGTAAAGTGTGTTTCAAATGATGAACTGAAGGAATTGCACCGGCTACTCCAGGTACTATTTGTACAGTACTGATTTTATCATGTGGAGTAATTTGTGTGTTAACAGCCGCTTCTTTAATCTTATTCACAGCCATTTTGCATTGAATTTTACACGGATCGGGAACATGATTATGAGAGTTTTCCTTAGGTTGATTTTTAATTTTTCCGTTAATCGTAATTATTCTACCTTTATATGAACTTTCTACACAACACCAATATATTGTGTTATTCTGTTTTCTATCTTCACGATGCAAGAATCCACTATACAATAATAAATCTTTAATTTTATTACTTATTACAAATTCCATTGAAAATAATAATAAATATGTTTTTTTTTTACACTATTTTTCTAACGAACAAAAATAATAAATAATACAATCTATACACTGACGCTCTGAACTATAACTATATTAACCTCTGTCAATTCAAATATAATATGATTGACAATTTTATCTAAATTTCCAACATATATGTATAATATCTAAGTTACATAGTAATTAAGATAGTACATTGATGACGACTTGATACATCCGTGGGCATAAGTCAATTGCATCAGATATCGCTGGTAAAAATAGAAAGAAATTTATATGTTTCAATTTATGATGTCAGTAAGTTATCTTGATAAATAATGAATTGAAAATTTTTGAATATATGTAATTTAAATTTAAGTTTCACTATTATGCATGATCGCTTATTTTAAAATTCGCTGTTTTTATTTTTGCTATAATTCATTCGCGATTTTTATATTCGCCGTTATTGTTTCGCTATTTTGGCCGGATACCCATTAGCTTCTCTATTGCTAAACGTATCTAGCCATAGGAAAATACTGAAGTAATTACAATGTGGTCACATTACTTTCTTTTGAAAATTATCAAAATGTTTATACCCATATGTTCTATTCCATGACTACAAATCGACTATGATTAAATGTCATAATTTTTAATTGAATTTGATATTGATGCTCGGGCACCAGTGCATTATTTCTTATTATAATTAAAAACAATTGATTCTAATTTATTTAAAATATCTTAATCTATTATAGATTCGAAAGGTATTAGTGATTTTTAGGATATTATGTCAGGTTGGTCTGAATATAATAGTTCCACAAGAGATGATTCCGATAATAAATATTTAATTATAAAAGACGTTCACGAAAAATTCTCTACTCCTGTCATCAGTGTCCCTATTTATATGGCATTCGGACCTGCTCGCTAGCTGAAAACGACATTATCACCGATGTGTGAGTGCTAAAACTAAAAATATAAGCTGGAAACTCTAGCGACTGCGTTTACAAATATTTCTTATTAATCTGAAGCCATTACTTCCGTAAACGATTGTAAAATAATAGATCAATGTGGCAAAGCTGATGGAATAGTTGAACGCACCGACGAAAATAAATTATTGTAGTTTAACCCGTCGTACTGCACACGGGGTAAATAATTACCCCAGACATATTTATATTATGTATAGGAAATAAAATAATGTATTTAGGTGTTTGTCCTCATCAGTAGCCATTAATAATACACCTATAAATACACTGTTTGTTGTTTTATGTTATTTTTATAAATTTTGTTTTATCTAGAACGTATAAAAATCATATACAGTGATATCTGGAAATTATATACCCCGTGTTTTTGTTTTTTTAAATCATAATATTTTTTAATTACTCTGTATGCAGTAGAATCTCTGTATATCTCTCACAAATACCTATTTTTATACATATTACTTAGAAATGTTCAATGATATTTAGTCATAATACAGTGTTATCAAAAGCGAATGTACTCGTATTATATTGGCATCGAGGCCATATTCACTACAGGAAAATACTATTATCTTTTGTAAAAATAGACTAAAATTAAATCCGATCGAGTTATTTGATTCTTAAAATAAATATAAATAGCAAACAAGAAAAATAAATCAATGAAGTTCAAATTATAACATACTGTAGTGAATAATAAAATTGGGATAAAAATTTACCCCGTGCGCGTTAATATGACATCCAAATGTGTGCGCCGTACGACGGGTTAAAGTAAGAAATTTGATAATTACATAAACAGTTGTTATACATTTATATGTATATAACTCTGATACAGTAAACTGTCGTATTTTCATTTGGATGAATAAACCAGATAATTTAACCGTTAACATTTTTTTTTTTTATGTTTTTGCAATACAATGTATATATTTTTTTTTTTATATTTAAACTGATCAAAACTGTATGCACTCATAATTTGCTTATCTACTTGATTGTTTAAGAGCAACGATAAAAATTCTGATCTTTAGACGTGGAGCTTGTACAAATTATATTCAATATCCACCACAGTTTTCCCGCGGTATTCGTTGGAATTTTTTATTTTTTTATTTTTCCAGCATAATAATATTCGATAGATAGTTCGCGCGCCACATAAAATTTACAAGTCATGATTCATTTGCACCACGTGTTTTAATAGAATCGAAATACGCTTCATAAATTAAGAGTTTGTGTGTGTGTAAGTGTACAGTCGCCACTGAGGTATTTGTAAATATTTCCATTGCGCGCAAAATACAAGTGGCGCTCGTCGGAACAAAGACAAATATTATACATTAAAAACAATGTTTTATTATTTTTTGACCGAACCAAACATAATGATTTATTTCAACGGTAGAAAAATAATACGAAATACTGCTGTGTATGTCAAACAAGGATTGTACACGTGGAAACCGTAACAGCCGACTGTCTACCTTAACCCATCGTGTGATACAAGAATAAATATAATAATTATCATAATAAGTTGATAATAACTTACAGTTGCTCAATGAACACTACGCGTATTATAATAATGTTTCCGATGACACCACCAATAATCGAAGTAATAATGACGTCCAATTAAAGGAGTGTTCCCAAACCAGTCTTTCACCATAGGAATCAAACTAGTGTACGGTGTATGTATGTGTATGTAGTATATGTGTTACGGTAAATAACATAAACCATGTAAATCACGTAAATAACGGGTGATAGTCGTATATCTAAATAAGAAATAGAAATTTTCAATATATACATAATAAATTAGGTAAATGTTTTCTACAATAATAAAATTCGACGACACTCAACACACCATTTTGTTTTTGCGTTCAACTTTTCTATGAATATAAGAAAAAAAAAATGTTTCCATGAAAAACTCATTAGTAAGATTTTACTTGAAATTTGTAAAAATGTTCATAATATACGAACTATTTTTTAGTATATAATTGACAATGAAACCAACATTTTTTTTTTTTTTTGTGTAGTGCGTAGAAAATACACACGTGCGTACGTTTTTCTATATTTTATATGTATACTCAACTGTTTTTTAAAGCATTTGAGTATACATATAAAATAGCACATAATAAATAATCTTTTATTTTCCTCTCTTTTTCTTTCTAAAAAATCGGTAAATAGTATTTAGTAGATAACGTATAACTTACTAAAATATATCAGTTACATGGGGTATGTCCATTAGTATTCAAATGTAGCGAACTATTATATTCTGTAAGCCAGTAAAATGTATTTACTAACGTTTTTAGTTTTTCAAGGAGTACAATTACTCATCCGTGCATCGGAACCATCGGTAAATACAAATGATACCGGTGTAAGAGATGGTAAAATCAATTCGATTGACGCAACTATAACAAATAGTCTGGAAGAAAAGCTGATTGCTGAGGTGGACAAGTATTTTAGACGTATTGAACAAAATGACTTATTAAAATTTAATTATACAATACCGGATTATAAATGTGGTAATATAATTCAACATATGGATGTTCAAAAATTAGAAAATAATATATATATTATTTTAAGTCAAATGTATAATTATTGCATTAGAGAAATTCTTGATAAGGATACTGTTTTAAAAAACAGAAATCTTGAAAAAAAAAATAATTAGTTTATTTCAATCATACTATGTACATACAATATGTACACATATTCCACGGTGTCTCGATTTCATCTACATTTGTGCACCTACATTTACAAACTTTGGAAAAATACTTTCTTTACATTCGGACATTTGTCTCACGCGAAATGAATACCTTACGAAATACTATTCTCAAGTTAATTCCAATGACGAATCATTATATTTTACCGAAATTGATACTATACGTATAAATTGGTTGTATAAAAGTCTATCTAAAACCAAGTTAATTTCCATAGAAACCAAATTCTATACGGCAAAAGATGACGAGACATTTATAAAAAGCATATTCGAAATAATTAATAAAATTGATAAAACAAATATGATACCAAGTAGTGATTGGTATGGTAAATCAATTTTAAACGATTATTCGCTCTCAAAAAAGTTAGAAACTCATTATATTCGATCTCCGTATTTGATTATGAACGATAGCAACAGAAATGAAATTCATAAACTCAATCTTGGTTTAAAAAAAGTTATTTTCGAACAAGGGAATGCATTGATGAACCCAATTAATTATAATGAAGTACCAGAATCAAATGACAATTTAATGGTTAATTGTAACTCAGCATTAAATGAACTATTACTTAACATTCTTCGGGCAATAAAATTTCATTTTCGAAATATAGTTTTAGATGTCCTAAATGATAATGACCTAGAACAACGAACTGTTATTATCGACCAGAATGCGATTATCAAGGTATTGCCGATCGAAATGCTTGATAGATTATGTAAATACATTCCTTTAATTCTTTATCATTTATTTAGTGCTTATATCACTGATCGAAATGTATTCAGTTTGTATTTAACAATGTGCAGTGACTGGATTAATTTTTTATACGTGCGATGTTTATGTGACAAAAGTGAGGACGGAAAATTTTTCTACAATCCGCAATGTGTAAAACAGTCAGTAAATGAAAAATTGATGGTAAACTATTATATGATAACACAAAAGGCGATATATGATGATGAGTTCATGAATGATGTTCCAGATGTAGAAAATTTGGAATC